CTCTGCGTCTATGCTAATTGGTTTCCCTTTTCTTTGTTGAAGAGGGTCTGTGCAATCCTTCTGCCTAGTCCGCCATCTTGCCCCGCCTCCTCTGCACTTGCATTCTTGAACTTACTGATGAAGATCAAAGACTACAGCCTTCAGTACGGATTACACCTCAACATAAAGTAGACAGAAATCCTCACAACTGGACCAATAAGCAACATCATGATAAATGGAGAGAAGACTGAAGTTGTCAAGGATTTCATTTTACTTGGATCCACAACCAATGTCCACGGAGGCAGCAGTCAAGAAATTAAATGACATATCACAATGGGCAAATCTGCTGCAAAAGATCTCTTTAAAGTGTTAAAGAGCAAAGATGTCACTATTTTGGTTAGCAGTGCAAATATGGGTGACTAGGGGGAAAAAAAGCTGGGAAATTACTAAGGCAAAGAAAGGGACTTAGGGAGAGACCTTTGGTGTGATGGCAATGTAATACTTTCTGTTCTATGGATGTTTGCTTTATAATTATTCATTAAAATGTATATTTTATTTTATGCTTTTTTCAGTTTGCATATTTCATAGTACAGCGTTTTTAAAAGGTAGGTGGACAAAGAGAATCTAGCCTTTTATTAATCAAATGCAAACTCAAATATAACGTATCCTGAAAAGTATAAAACATCACTGAAAGAAAGCTGGGCAATGAAAAAGGAAGGCTGAAGAATTGATGTCTTTGAATTGTGGTGCTGGTGAAGAATACTGACTATACCATGAACTGCCAGGAGAACAAATCTGTCTTTAGGGAAGTGCAGCTAGAATGTACCTTAGAGGTGAAGATGGTAAGACTTCTCACATGTTATCAGGAGGGACCAGTCCCTGGAGAAGGACATGGTGCTTGGTAAGGAAGAGGGTGAGCAAAAGAGAGGAAGACCTTCGATGAGAGGGACCAATGCAGGATGGCTGCAACATGGGCTCAAACATAGCGTGGGGACGTGCAGGACCTAGCAACGTCTCCTTCTGTTATACACAGGTCACTACGAGTCGAACCAACTCAATGGCACTAACAAGACGACTAAATATTGTTAAGACAGCAATACTCCCTAAATTGCTCTAAGGATTCAGTGCAATCCCTACCAAAATCCCAAGAGGCTTTTTTGCAAAACTGATAGCTAATTTTAAAATTCATGTGGAAGTGCAAGGGACCCAGAATAGCCAAAAGAAGAACAAAGTTAGAGAACTCATTCTTCCTGATTTCAAAACTTCTACAAAGCTACACTAGTCTAGACTGTGTGGTACATGTCAGTGGCATAAAAAATTTGGGAGTCCAGAAATAAATCCTGAAATTTATGGTCAATTGATTTTCAACCGGAGTGCCAAGACAATTAATTGCTGGGACAACTGGATGTTGTTATTGTTGTTATGTGCCATCGAGTTGGACCCGACTCATAGCAACCCCTTCTTGGGTTTCTGAGGCAGTATCACTACGGAAGTAGATTGCCCAACCTTCCTTCCAAGGAGTGGCTGGTGGGTTTGAACCGCCAGCCTTCTGGTTAGCAGTCAAGTGCCTTAGGCACTATGCTACCAGCGCTCCTGGACAACTGGATAGTCACACATAAAAGAATGAAATTGGACCCCTACTTTGCACCATAGACAAAAATTAACTCAGAAATGGATCAAAGATCTATGTGAGATCTAACACTTTACCAAAGACTGGGGAAAAGGAGGAACGGAGAGTGACTGCTAATGTGTAAAACTCAAACCAAACTCACTGCCCTGGAGTTGATTCCAACTCATGGAGACCCTTCGTTGGGTTGCCGAGGCTGTATCTCTACTGAGGTAGATTGCCCAGTCTTCCTTCCCAGGACTGGCTGGTGGGTTTGAACTGCCAGCCTTCTGGTTAGTAGTCAAATGCCTTAGGCACTATGGGGTTTCTTTTTGCAGTTATAAAAATGTTCCAGAATTAGGGTTAATGGTTGCACAACTTTGCAAATATACTAAAGTCCACAGAATTATACAAACACTTAAATAGGCAGATTTTATGGTATATAGGGTTAGAGTATCTTGTATCTTGTTACTAACCAAAAGATAAGCGGTTCGAACCTACCAGCCACTCCTGGGCAGACCGATGGGGCGGTCTGCTTCCGTAAAGATTTACAGCCTTGGAAGTCCTATAGGGGTCGCTATGAGTCGGAATCGACTGGATGGCAGTGGGTTTGGTTGTTCAGTTTGAAATATAATTCAATAAAAAATATAAAACAAAAACTGTAAATTGGGAACTAATGTTTAATTTCAAAAATCAGATCCACTAAAAAGAAAGTCGCATATACTCATTGTAAGAAAAACTGAACCGCCCCCTTCCTAAAACAGTGACAACCTTAAAATAAACACTGTGAACGCTGTGATGATCTCGGCTTAAGGAGTGAGGATTACACTGTAGAGTTTCTGGTACCGAAGGAAGCGATGACCCCTCACGCCCCATTCCACACTTACGCGGCCTAGGATGTTCCGGTTGTCCGAGCAGAGCACGGGTAGCGGGGACCTTAGGAAACAGCGGAGTGTGAGGCCGCGGGGCGGAGGGTGGGGGCGGGACGTGGGCGCGTCGGGGGACACTCCCGAGGTTGCGGGTCGAGACGTGGGGGGCGTGCGGCTGGAGGTGGTGTGTGTGGGCGGGACATGGCCAATGCAGGGCGGGAAGGACGCAGAGGCTGGCCTCGGGGACGCAGGGGTGGGGCGTG